CCTTCAGTGGTAAAATTCCATATAAATATTCAATACTACAACGGGCACAGTAAAGACGTTTACTGTAAATCTTTCTACGACAGACCAATGGACCACGAGTGCCCCTGTTGGTCAATCAATCACGTACCGCGGTATTTTGTGTCAACGCGCGTCATAATGCGCGACGCCGTAGCCAATTACCTCCGGTACGTGTCTGTACCGCGCACTTTGAATGGCTGCATCTGTATGTCAGGAATAAATTAAGGATCCAGGAGTTGTGACTGGTTACTTTAGATATACTGTAAATTTAATAATGACAACACAAAAAGACTGATGTCTCCCAATTAAACATACAGTGACAACTTCCAAATCCAATTCCCATTTCCAGTTTACATTTTTCATTTTCCCATTATGAATTTCATTCCAAGGGCAATATTATGTTATGTTATGAACACCACCACTACAAGATACTTAGAGGGATAAAAATAATAGGTCTTTACTAATGTGCTCTAGAAAGTGTCCTTTGATTCTTGTGGGCAGCTGCTTTCACAGCTGTCACACAGCTAGGCTCACTGTAAGATCTAAAATCAAACTGTGAGGACCATGAAGTAAATATTCCAGTCACACTCTCCAGTTGAAAAAGTATGCAAATTATTGAATGCAGAATTGTCTAACAGTCATATGAGTAATTTTTAATTTTGTTTTCAGACAATTCAACATTACCAATGCAGACCTTGGACTCGCACCCAGTGAGGTAAATAAAAATTGTACACTACTTTTTTAAATCATATATTTTTTAAATATGATTTCAATCAGTACCCAACACATGCTGTTGTAATCTAAAAAACATTTTTTTCTCACCAGATCAGTATATGTATTGCCAATTCATTGCCACTAAATAAGATGTTTTATACAAAAAATATAATTTTAGTTTTAATATCCACTTACAAAGCTTTCATATTTTCACTTAAATCCGTTAGCAAGATATAATTTTCAAATACATAACAACTTAGATGTTTTGACACTTGATTTTGACCTTTATTGTCTACTGTGGCATGGCAGAGCATAAAATGTTCATTTCTCTAAAAAGCTCAGCTGTTAGCTCACCGTTATTTTTTTCTACCCATCTACAGCAACATGAGAATGTGGGGCCTGCATTAATGGCTGCAGCTGTCCGATTTCAGCTCAGCTATAAGAATTCCTCACGCAGCTGCATTGCATTCAGTCAAAACTTCGCTTGTAGCCACAGGGCTAAGGTGCCTACTACTTTGCTCCTCATGAAAGCATTTTTTTCCCTGTTCTCAAGTCTGTCTTTATTTTTCTAGCCACGCTCAGCTTTTTTTTCTCTGGCTGTCTCAAGAGTATTGAAGAGATGCCCCTTCAGCTGCGACACTGATCTTATGCCGGTGCCTCTGTCTACCTCACGGAGACTCAAACCAGCATTTGCTGTGGCTCCCAGAACCACATTGCTACACCGCATACAGTGTACATCTTGATCTGTCACATAATGTAACCTTCCTAATACATTTCTCTTTTTTCCAAAGCAATCGGATAAACAGAAGGAAAAAGAAGCTGCTATAGGGTTCCGTAATCAAAAATATAAAGAGAAGATACAAGAGCTCCTGGACAAAGAAGCAAAGGCAAGATCTTGTATTTGAAAAACATAAGAAAGGCAGCTGGTCATTCGGTAGAACTAAAAGTTACAGAGTGGCTGTTTTCCTTAAATCACAAGTGAGAAACAGCTTTATTGCTTGAATTAGGCAGCTGCAGATCATGCAAATGTAAAGCAGAAATCATGTACCAGGTTTAAAGACTATTGTCATATTGCCAACATTTCGAAATTCGAATTCAATAGTTAGGTAAAATTCTAATAATGAAACAAGCAGATGAATATAATGGAAATACAGCCCACAATAATTTGGCTTTAGCTTGCCTGTCTGAGGATATTACTTGTTGGAGATCAGGACTGTCATATCCCCTCAAGAGCATCCCCAAAACACCAACGCAAATTTTGAAACACTGTGCTAAAATAAAGTCAGTTCAGTTTGTCTGAGCAGAATGTGTGTGCAGCCTGTAATAAAGGAGACATGCATATGATACAGGCTTGCGTTTTTTAAAGAGTTGATTTGGATATGCAGTGTTTTGAGGGAACACTGATGGTGAATAAAGCAAATTCCAAACCATGTGAACCTTGCAAGTACATCAAGATAATGACTTACCAGAATGCCTCTTTCAGAAATGCCTCCTCGGAGATGAAGAGGAATCAGAAAATGTTTTTAATGTATACACAGTGAGTTCCCAAGAGTATATGAACATACGGAAAGGAAGGACAGCAATCATGAAAGAGAATGATACAGGTAAGCGAAGACATGTAAAACAATAGGGTAACCAGACCTTTTGTGCTGAACAACCATTCTACCAGTTGTACTGTTATTTACAGGGATTACAGAACACTTCCAACAATCGTTCAAGGCAGGAGAAGTACACATTGACTGGGACATTTCAACTGTAGTGCTTTTGCAATAAAATTACACAAATTGTTACTAGCCAAATAATTACAGGACAATAAGTCTTTCTTTTTGTTATGTATGGAGATATTTAAGTGATACAACTGTAGAATCATATAAAGTGACTGAGTCCTGATGTTGGTGAAAGAAAAATAATTTATTTTGCATGCATACAGGAGAGCAGCTTTCATTGCTCAGTGCTTTTTATACACAGTGACAGACAAGCTTCCTACTTTTGACATAGATTACCAAATCCCTAAAATGAACCATCCGTTCTCATGCAAGCTCGGATAGAGAAAAAGAACTCCTTATTAGGACTTTTTGTTATTGCTTACATTTGCAGAACAGGACATTTGACTTCCCTTTTACTGCATTTAAGACATGAGCTGTATTTTTCCACTGACCTATAGATGCCCCCATGTATGTTTCCACTTGCCAGGGTTAATAGCAGTTAGGAAGCTAAAACATAGGCAGTTTGTTAGCTATTATAAAATGTATAACATTCCTGTAGAACTAAATCAGTATCATTCCTTTTATTTCAAGAGCTGCCATTGCTTCATGAACACATCAGGAATATGGTGATCCAACACTCTCAGAAAGCAGAGAAGGACTATATCACTGAAGTGTTTGGTGTTCTCTCATGCCTCACTTTTTCAAAGGACAATGAAAAGGTACATGCTTAACATTCTATCAAATAATGCAGTTCTCGTGGACTTCACTTTGAGGCAATGAGTATTGTCAAAAACTTTGTGCTCATACTTTTATGCTGCAGCCACCTTTTAACAGAAATACTGCAAGCTGATTGGCCAAAGACCAATTACAAGACACAGGCTGCTCTTCAGAGAGATTCTGAGAGAGCAGCTGCATTATGAAATAGACAAGCTGATGCTTAAAAAAAAAGACAGCAAATTCAGCAGGGAAAAAATGATAAAAAATCAGCTATTTGAATCTTCAGATCTGGTGGTAGTTAGCCAGAATGAAGTCCGCTAGCTTTGAGAAATATGAGAAAAAGGATTTTTAGTTTAGGCTAGAATAAAGTGGTTAGCTGCTTGGAGTGCTCTAATGTTGGAGCATAGATCAGCTGAGAAAGCAGTCTTAAAACCAAATGAGCCAATTAAAAACTAGACTGGCTGCTTGATTGGAAGGTCTAATAGAGAGATGTCCTGAATTCATTCCCATGGGATCGGAGGAAGGTTTAGAGCTTGTGCAAATGTTCAGGTCTCCTCTGGCAATAGCAGGACGCAAGTCAGTCCCAGTCCTGGTGGAACTCATACAGGATTAAAGTGAGCCCTGACATAACATATTAAAAATAAAGAAATTATAAAAGCTGAAACCCTGACAACAATATATAACAACAGTATATATATATAAGAGTTCAATAGTAGCATAAAATATAAAGGTCAAACTATACAAGAAGTATAAGGTACATAAATAATTGCACATTATTTTTATCTGAGTACAGTCCTCAGACAGTTGTTTAGCAAGGTAATATTGTAATACCCACAAAACACCTAAACATACTAAACATGTGTACTTTAAGTATATCAAAATACTGTGCAAAGGCATGGTGTATGTTTGGGAAAGATCTGTTTGGATTTGTATAATGAAAATTATTTCCTGGACTTGTTAATGTCAGAACTAAATACAGATCCAGTCATTCAAAATACGCGAAGTACGCTGCGTCAAAACGCGGTAGGCGTGGTGCATCATAATGCATCATACCGCATGTTAATGATAATAGTATCCAGGAGCACCTTTGAAACCGCCAGGTGGAGCTAATAAAGCATCATGTCTCATGTACAGCATTTGAGCTGTCGCCAAAAAGATATTAATAGTATTAATAATGAATAACTTTGGACAGGCTGTAAGCTCAAAGTATTACCATGGTCCACTTTCTTTGTAATCGTCTGCATTAGTTTAACTCTTTCATCCGTGATTAAGTGATAATCAGCTGAGCCCTTTTCAGCTGTAGCTTAAGTTCTGAAGTGGTGCATTGGGTTAGGTGTGTGCATTGCATGCAGGTTATGGGTTCAAACCAAGCTGTTGCCATGATCTTTATTTTAACAAATAAACATTTCTTTGAAAAACGAAACTAGTAAATATTATCGACACTATATTGAATTTGTTGGTATTTATAAATATCACAACACACTCAAAGTTAAGAGAGTTAAGTGATTAACCTTTTCTATGAATACTTGAGCGCTATCGCAGTACAAAAACCTCATACTTTTTCGAATCCGCTAAATAGGGAATATAATATGGAATTGCTTATCTAAAGAAATTAATAACTATATTAATTTAAGGATCTAAATATATGCATTTATATAGCTGGTAGTGTCACTGTAATCCACCTTCTTTGTAAACAGGTTTTATTTTTAATTTGACTCATTCACGCATGATTACTTTAGAAACATTTTTAAACTGTTTGTTCTACTGTATGTAGGCGATCAGAGTTCAATACCTGGTTCAGGCAAAAGTTTTTCTTCTAACAAAGAGTTTTTTAAAAATTAAATATTAAATATGACGTACACTAGGTTAACATTTTTGTGTTTTTCATATTCAATGTTAAGTGATATTTATAATGAACAAAAAACGTGAATGACACAGAGCCTGCAATCTACAGATTTAAAGATCGCGATTTGTGAAAAATTTCACAACTTTTATTTAAACAATATGTAGTACCTGGTTGTATTTTTAGAAACCTTAGTTTGAATAAAGTGGATCCCAGGTGCAAGTGACTTCATAACGCGAGAAGGCATTATGCTATATTTTTTATGCATCAGTTGAAGCCTTCTGACTATATACAAAAAAAACAGGATTCACTTTTTTCTGTCTCTTCCTACTCTCACTCACCTGTTACGATTCGGGCACAGAATGGTTACAAATGGGAAGAGGTCAGACAGGCAGGGGGAAGGGTGAGGTGTGAAACTGTTACCTGTCCTGGGTAAAGTGGTTAGAAAATAGGTGGATTTACACTTGTAAAAAGTGTTCCAATTTTAATGCGATTAAATTACCTTAGACGGTCTGTAAACTGAAAATTTATAGAGGAGACATGTTGTGTCTTTTCTTTCCAGCTTGGAATTAACTTTTACCTACTAGTATATTCTAGCTACCTTATGTAAAGCTGCTCCATGCTTCTCACAAAGGCTAGAACTGTCAACACCCTACTGTGTAATGTTATGCAGAATTGAATAAAACAGAACAGAACAGTTCTGGGGGATGAGAAGGAATTTTCAGTAGCATGCAATGTTGTCATTGTTAACAAGTAACAAGTAACAGGTTTATTCCATGCTGAAAAGAGAAGAGAGAAAACACAATTTTTAGGCTGTGGAGCCTTCTTTGGGCGGAACAGTTTAAATCAAATATATTTTTCCCACAAGCCGTACTGTATTGGCAGTACATTAGCAGTTTGAGATAATTTGTTGTTATTAATAAATCACTTAGCTTCAAACATGTTGTGATATTTAGAAATATCAAACATGTCAATATAGTGTCAATAAGATTTGCTATTTTAGTTTTTCAAAGAAAAGTTTATTTGTTAAAGGTATCATGGTGACAGCTGGGTTCAAACCCCTGACTTCCACCATACAAGGCACACACCTAAGCCATTAAACCACAGATGTAATCACATAAGAAGGGGTGAAACTGATGCAGACATTTCCAAAGAAAGTGTACTACTGTAATAATTTGAGCTATAGGAATATAATTTTATTGTTATCAATTTCTTGATGACCCCTGTCGGTCATTTTGGCCAGCCAATCACGTATTGCAGAACAACGTGGTGAACTGTGGTTAATTTTGCACGGTATGGGGTTGTACCATGCATTTTGAATGGCTGCATCTTTACATGTCTTATATAGCTATTATAAACTATTAATAATATCTTAAAACATTTAATAACACAATTAAACATTTTCACTTTGTGTTTTAATAGCTCGTTCAGGTTGCAGAGTTCAACAGTGAACTTTCTGTCCTGCTAAAAAATGAACTGGATAAGGTGTGTGAAAACTTAGTAACTTTTTTGAATGATGTTTCTGAAAACCTGGAAAGTTGTCTGAAGGATGGAGTTGTAGAAGCTGAAAAGATGTGCATTAAAAGTGCGATGGATGAAGTTATAAAGCCAGTAAGTGAACAAAATGAAATGATGATACATTACTGTAATAAATTATAGTAATAAGCTGTTTTATTTATTATTTAAGCTTATAAGCCTAATAAGTTATAGTTGTATTGATTATGAAATTCAAAGACTTTAAACATTACACTATTTTGATCAAACTATTTTAAAACCGGAAAATGTATTAACATCAATATGTCTAGAAATGACTTACAGTTATAAGAAACCACTAGATTTTTGTTATTTATATAAAATTAAATATATTTTGATCTCTTTATTTCAGTTGGAGCTGAGATGTTTAATAGCTTGAGTAAGGTGTTCTAAAGAAATACAGATTGTATAGATAACAGGAAGAATTGCTCTCAGGTTCTTATTCTAAGTGTAGAATGGGAGGATATTTGTCTGAAAACAAACAGTAGAGGCACTGTGAATTGGCAAAACTATATTAGTGAGTGAACCAAATGACTTTTCCAAGGACAATCCAAAAGCAGGTTCATTCTAAGTCATATCAAGCCTATAAATATAAAACAGTGAGACACTGGAAGAGAGACTTGTTGTTTAACAGTGGCGCAACCTGCAAACATGCATTCTATTGCATGTTATTTTTCACAGCTAGTTCTTAATTATAAAAGTGATCTTCAGGACTTTGATCAATTAAACAGTTAGGGATCTACCACAAACCTCATATTTGTGACACCATATTCTTATTACAAAGAACTTTCAGTGAAATAATGATTTTTCTAAATGCAATTGGTACAAATGGGGGGTTAAGAAAATCAGGAATTGACTGAGCAGTTAAAGTCATAAGTAAAATATTTATTTTTATCCCCCAACTTGTTTAATGACTTCTCCAGAAAATACCCAAGAGGTTGGTATAATTAGAAACACATTCTCTGGCACATCTTCTGTGAAAAGAGTACTAATCCAGGCACACTTGGTTGAACAAATATCCATTATACGTTCAAGACACAAACTACACTGCACACAACAAAACATACAGCACACAAGTTACTCTATGTGCACTATTTGCAAACATGGCTTTCAAAGGCCTAACATTCTGATCACCCAGAAAAAAAAAATCCAGCCTTCTATGAATTATGAAACTTAATCTCTACAGAGGCCAAATAAGAGATCAGCTGCCTTCTAAATAAATGCGATACAATACAACCAGCAGTTGAATCTCTCTCTCTGCACATCGGATGCCACAAAATAAATGAGACCCTATCTCCCTATTCTAAAACTGCACCCAAAAGCATGAAAGATGTTTCTAACTGAGGTATCTTTATCCAGGAAACCCAAGTTCTCTAAAAGCACAGAATACCAAGCTCTCTCTACCAAGTTCAAATAATTAGCTGTAGTCAGTTATTGTTTGAATGATCATGAAGTAGGGACTCCCGCCTGGCACAAGCTTCAACTCCCAACATTTTTCTTATCTTTTCCTGTCTCTCTCCCTGTTGTTCTCCTCTTCTTATTCACTGTCCTTGTTATGATGTTATATTGTTTGGTTCTGTACTGCTCATTGACAATTATTAACCCACAACATCCCTAGGTATACCAAGGTAAACTTTACAATTGTTTCTCCTCAAGGGACCTCCCAGACTGCAACAAACACCCTCTCAGTTTTGAAGCTAAATGTTTTTACTCTGCCAAGTGTCACAGACTTTATCTAACATCTAAGAGATACTTCTCAGACACCTAAAGCTGTAACACTATTTTATTGTTCTTTCAATGTAATCTCAGAAAATGAAAAATTTCAGAGGCTACCACAGGACACTCAAAGCTGTATGCCGAAGCAATGGAAGTTACAGCTCTTCAAAAGGACCAATTGATCTGAATTACACTTTGTCAAGACCAATGTACACATCTGTGAATAAAACATTTCTTCAAACATTCAGGTACAAAAAATGAAAGATTTGTATCTGTTTGCATAAATTCCATGTTAGTAAATACTGTACATTAGTATATATTCTATATAAGTAGAACTGTTTCACCTGCTCCAAACTTGTCACATTTAAAAAACAAGTTTTTAAAAATGTTTTCATGATATTTACCTTAGACCTCAGTTTCATTCCACTTAATATTAAATCTAAGAAAACAAGAGAACAGACTTAAAACAATTTCTTTGGGCCCTTATTTATTTAATTGTATTTTACTCCACAGAAATTCAAGGAGCTCCATCAATATTATCTTTGACAATGTTCTGTATGACTTTATTTCAAGTGAGAGGTTGAACAAGTATAAAAGTTCTAAAGTTTACCCACAAGTGGTGTTTGTGAAAACAGAGGTAAGAAGGCAGACTGATGTTCAGAGCCTTGCTAATTTTAGCTTATTTTATTATACAGAATAGTGTGCTGCTATAGTATTATATGTACCATTGATTTTTTTTTTCAATGTATATATTTAACACTTATCAATACTGTATTTAAGTGAGTGTCTGGATCTCAGAATTACCAAACTTATATATGAAATTGCTTGTCTTTCGGATGAGATGTTAAACTGAGGCCCTGATTTTCAGTGGTCATTTAAGATCCCCCGGCATTTCTCGATAAGAGTAGAGAGTTATCCCGGTGTCCGGGCCAAATTTGTCCCCTCAGCCTTTACCGTGGCCTCAAAACTGTCCCCATGTATGATTGGCACTTGCCCTGCGATGGACAGGGTGTACCCTGCCTTGCGCTTGTTGCTTGCCGGGTAGGCTCCGGCCTCACCGCGACCCTCACCTTGAAAAGCGGAGTGAAAGTGGATGGATGGATATATGAAAATATACTTAACAGGTCAGGCAAGTTGAGAATCTACATATTCCATATATCTTTTTATTTTTAATTTGGAACAAGAAGTTATTTCATTCTTGTTTTCAGTGCCTTGCAGAAGAACACAGAGCCTTCCTATAATGTCCCATTTGATAAAAATAAAAAAACATTTTTTAAAACTCTGTGTCTTTTTTTAAAACATTAATTCACGATGGAGTGAATCAGTGTTAGTATGACTGAGATAAAGTGAAATGGGAAGATTAAAAAATGATAAGTAGAAGCTAAGATACAGTAGTCCATACATTCTCCTTTCGATCACCTGTGGCTTTAAAGCAACAAAATGTGAAAACTGAAAAGTAGAAAAATCACATTCATTAGTAGGCATAAAGTCAGCTGAAAGTCTGAATAGAATATCATAAAGCAGATTATTTTTGTGAATTTATGTTTTATTCAGCTAAAAAGAATACTGAGTGAATTGGAAAAGGAAATCCGCTACATAAAGAAAAGCATCAACAACTCTCTCAGTGACTCAATCAAGAAAATCATGCAGCCAGCTTATGAGGGTAAGTGACTTAACTTTTTAAGAATGTATGGAAGAAAGGAAAAAATGTTGACAGCAGTGAGCATGTTTATTTACTATGCCCTGTATGAGTAATACTTATAATTTTGCTAATACCAGAAGGATAACAATCACTTTATATTAATTTGGTCAAACACAAATTGGTTGTTACTATGCTTACATATACATGAAGTTGATTTTAAATTAGTTTCATTATATACAAAACTAAATGAATATAGAATTTTCTTTTTTAAACTTTTAAAATTCTTGTATTTCAGAGGCATCAAAAATCTCTGGAACTCATGCCTTTAAGAAAATTCAGAAAACTCTTGAAGACAGAATTGTATCATCACAAAATACCATGTTCCAGAGGGCCAAGGAAGAGATGTTGCACAGATTTGATGACCTCAAGGTTCGTTTTCCATCAACACAAGTCTGTAACGTCCTGAAGATTCTCATTAAATCAAGTCTCAAATGTGCCACTTCATATTGTCACACCCTGTGATGAAACATAGCCAGATGCATAAGAGAGACACCACGATTGCCATAAGGTTAAAATGGTTCTTTTTATTTACAGTGTTGAAAATGAGGGGAAAAAACCCCAATAAAAACACCAAATCAAATGAACTAAAACAACATTTTGACTGACTCATTCCCTCAAAGTTTCCTGGATAATAAGGCTTCCATTTTTTGGTCAACCTTTACATTTTCTGCAACTGAATGAATTTTCAATAATTAACGTTCATAATTAATGTTCATGTATATAATGAAGGCTAAAGACTATATATAGCTGTTACACCAGAGGAGAATGGATGGTAGCAGTTAACATAATGTGTCAAGACTCCCAATATGAAGTATTATATTATTTCAATGAATATTAAGTTTTCTAAAGGTTATCCTTCAGAGTTTTTTGTGTTTTATATTGCTTTCCAAAAAACATTTTTTTCTAGTTAAAATATCTTAATCTAATGTTGATTTATTCATCTTTTTTAATCTTTTAGAAATTGGTAAATAACAGAATCAAAGAAAAAATGAAAGAATCAATCACTCTGGCTCTAAATCAGTCTGAAGTGGATGAAACTTTCCCAGGTAATAATACTCAATATAAATGTTATATTTTTGCTCTGTTTAATAAAGTAAGTTGTTTCAATTTGAATAATGATTTATTATTTATGAAAAAGATGAGAGACACGATGTGTACAAAGAGTCCACTCAGTTCAGTTTGGAATTAATCAAAATATCCTGCATTGTAATACATCGTACTTAATATAATATAATTAATATATATCAATATACTTTGAATTAACAGTTTAATCTAAAGTTTAAGTTTAGTGAAAGAAACAGTTTATTACATTGATTGATTTAAAGAAATTTTTGTTAAGCAATGTTAACCTAGTCCTCATATTGTTAACCTTACTACTTTCAATTTTTTAATTATTTGAGATAACTAATTACAACTAATTCACATATATTCAGTAAAGTAATTTCATTATTACATTGCACTGTTATGCTTTATGTCCAAAAAATGACTCCAAAATTATTTAAATTTTATATACTTTTTAAATATGCATTTGGGTATAAACTTCCTTAGATAACTTAGAGAAAGAAAGCTGAACAAGTAAAAAATATTTTGAATATTCACCATACCGCCATCATTATTATCTTTATGGTTGGTAGATTACAGATTAGCCACAGTACACTCAACTGACCAACCAGTGTTCTTTTGTCTATTGATGATAGCAAAACAGTTCAGCATTTTGGAGGGAATTTGGTTGTGATTCTGATAAAATGAAGATAATTTATGTTTAAAATATATGAAACATTTAAAAATGCAAAACATGTAATTTTTAAGAGCATTGTTACTAAACAAGTACAGTATAATAATGCTTATTTTTGTAAAATATTAGCTTAGTTTTCTTAGCATATGTGCCTATAAAGCTTTGTGTTGTGATATTATATTTTTTTCTGTTTTCTTTTTCTTGCAGATATTCGAGATGAATTTAAAACAATAAAAAAATGCTGCAAAGACTTACAAATCACCATGTGTGAATAAAAAAATTAGTTAAAATGCCAATGAAGTCTGACAATATAGAGTATTGTATAGGAAGAGTTGTTTGAGCGGCATTCTTTTAAAAGAATAATTGTACTTATTTTTCTACTGCTACTTGTTTTCTTATAATAGATTCTTCCAAAGCTTAATTTGATCATTAATTGTTTTTTTCATAATACTTTGAATGGTGTGTTAATGATTTTTAAGTAAAAATGATGCAGGTTTTAAATATGGATTTAATTTTATTATTTATAACATTTTCTAGTGTTGTGATGGGTGATGTACAGTAAACGTGCTACTTTTCATAATGTTTCCTACTTGCTTTTTGTTATTCTTCGATGATCTATCCAAGTTAGATGGAATCTTTACCCTCAAGAATTTTGTTACAATGCCTTTAATTTCCGATTTGTCTTTTGCTTAAAGGGGAAGGATTTACATGAGTTTAATTAAGTAATAAATCAATTCTAAACTTTTTGTATCCTACATACTGTGATATAGTTAAAGATAATTAAATAGTTAAAACTTTAGTTTTAATAGTTAAAATTGTTTTTCTTTATAGTTAAAACTGAGTAAACCAGAAACATTGGTATTACTATAATTCATTCTGTAATGTACATAAACGTTTTCACAAGGAATAAAAATGTTTGAGAATCTGATGTGTTGTGAGTGGTTATCAAGGGGAAACACCAATGCAGAATTCTAAAATGAATTTAAGACCAAGTTCGATCAGCTGTGGTTTCACCCAAATTGAGTGGGAATCTGATGAATGAAAACCGTGTGTGATGCAGACCTGCACTTGTTTTGATTCAGATGCAGTGCCTGGGAAGCACATGCTGTGTATGACAAAATACAATCAGGTGCAGCAGTGGCTTTGATTGGAACTCTATGGTGGGCAGCAGAAGCAGAAGCTGCTGGGAAATGTAGAGTAGTTTAAAGTGGTGATGCAGAAGAACAAATTTTAAAGTGGGGGAAGGCCCACACCGGCCATATGGACACCAGCAGAACAAAAGGTAAATGGCGACAGGATCATATCAATGTAGCTCCCTAGGCCTGACTAGGGACAGCAGAGCAATGAATGGGGAAGTCCGGATCAGTCAAAGACTGGGGGCTCCTATAAAAGAGAGTGAAAAGAAGTATTGGAAAGAGGGGAAGAGACAAAACAAGATGAGGCAGTAGGTGCACTGGGTTAGCCATGGTAAGGGAAGGGAAGAAAATGGTGCTGAATTAGGAGGAGAGAGGAGGTTCTACAGTTGCTCAGTTTCCGGGAGACTTGTTGAAAGAAAAAAAAAACAGATGGCATGGTTAATGGTGAGCAGTTGATTTACTGTGGCACACTGAGGCTGGAGAGGCAAGAGTGACTCAGGTTCTAATGGACACAATTAAAATATGGTCCCAGCAATGTCAAAGTACATCTATAGCAAAGTAGTTGACTGCGTGACAGGATGTTTGATGGCACTGTGTTCAGTCAAGGAATTTCTATTTTGGAGAAGAGAAACGGGACATTAAAAATTGAACTCCACCCAAACGTCTGTTCAAGTAGTTCCATTTTGATGCCATACAAGTTAAAAATAGTTTTTTTTTTGCTATTTGGGAACAAATGGAACCCTTACTACTTGAAATAATGGAAACAGTGAACCACTCTCTCAAGGAGAGATAAGAGTTGTATAACACAGCTATGAAACTATTTGGCCATAAATGAAGTGGTGATTCTCAAATCAAGAGAATAGATTCACCAAATCCAGAGACAAGGCCATACATTTGGGGCCACTACTTAACAGGAATGCAAGAAAGGACTTTTGAACCGAAGCTTAACAAGATACTGCACAACAATACCTAAAACTCATCTTTGTATACACATGCAGCCATTCAAAACAAGGGGAGTACGCTGCGGTACAACGTGGTGGGTGTGTTGCATCATTTCGCATCATATTGCATTTCACCTTATGCAAATTAGATTACATTAATAGTATCCAGAATCACCTTGCAAAACCGACAGGTGGCGCTACTAAAGTTCAGCCTCTCATATACAGCATTTGAGCTGTCGCCAGAAAACACCTGGTTTTGAATCCCGATCACTGCTGAGGGACAATCTATATTCAATTAAGAATTTAAGTTGTATACTCTTTAGACTTTTAAATTTAAACTGTGTATTACAGCATGTTAATCATTAAACATTAAAAAGTTGGTATATTTTATGAAAGTAAGATTGCTCAGTTGGACAAAAGTACACAACCAACCACCTTTCTCAAAAATATTTTAATTATGCAGAAATATTTTATGCATCAAAGTCTTTATCGAAGATATTACTAATAGTATTAATTATGAATGACCTTGGGCAAGCTGTAAACTCAAAGTATTACTCTGGTCCACATTTTTGTAACCATCTTTGTAAACGAAAATCAGTTTTTCATTGACAAAAAGTAACACCACAGCATTTCATTGATCCGATCACGTATTCATTTCCAATCATACAAAGTATGTTATAAGAATCTCTGATTCACCATGCCTTTCACATGCTCATAAACTATATTAATTTAGGAACATAAACATATTATGTAAACTGTATGTGGCTGGTATTGGTAGTTTAAAGAAAAAATACACACCAGTATTCCATTTCTCCCTAAACATTTTAAGCATCAAAGTCTTATATGTGGTTATTTTGGAAACGTTTTTACGTGCTCCTTCTGACCATATTACGTTTATATACTTTGTGAGAAAAGTGATAGTTTTAACCTTTTCTGCGAATACACTCGATATCGGCGTAAACAAAAGCATACTTTTAAAATTTGATTAATAGGGAATATAATATGGAATCATGTATCTAAAGAAATTAATAACTGTAGCACAAACAGTAGTATAAGACTTTCCTGATTTATAACCATGGGGTCGTGTGTTCAAACCCAGCTGTCACTATAAGTTTTCTTTTAACAAATAAACATTTCTTTGAAACACTAAAATAGCAAATATTATGGACACTATTTTGACATTTTTTATATTTCTAAATATCACAACATGTTCATACTGTATGTACACAGTGGTACTGCAGGGTGTAGGGCGCAAACCCACGTGAGCCCAAAAGCCCTACATTATTAATAATATTTTCTGTCGCATTAACATGGGAATGTTCCTTTTTTACAAGTTTAAAAAGAGGCGATACACAAGTGTCCCCTCCTTAACACTTCAGTTTACAGAGAAACTTCACCAGTGCCTCACAACATTGTCCAATAATACTCTTCTTGTGTCTAATTTTTAAGTTTAGCAGGATTTAAGCTACAGTATATGAATATAATTACATTGTTATTAATGTATTTAGATATGCGATTCCATATTATATTCCCTATTAATCAAATTCTAAAAATGTCAATATAGTGTCCATAATATTTGCTATTTTAGTATTTCAAAGAAGTCTTTCAAAGGCTTGAGGCCTCTGTTAAAATGCCCCACTGGATAAAGTGTTTGTAAAGAAACCAGTTTTACAACTCTTTTCCTCCCCCTCTTCATTTTCAAAGTAGAATAGGCCAACCTTCCAATGATAGACAGTCCCTCTTCCCCCCACGGACAGACTGACAAATGTTTTATTAATAAAAAGAAATTCACAATGCAAAGCTGTGTCAGTCTTCTGTGTAAAAAAATCAGTTTGTACATCATGGGTGCTCTTTTTAATAAGCTGCTGAGTAAACAATAGGATTTTTCGTGCTGTCAGTTTTATGTAGAGGCTGTGAAAAATTCCACAAGTAGAGGTCTTTAAAATGTGTTTGGTTTGAAGGCTGTGTTTTATCGCATTCACTACTTACCAAACTGTATATGGCTGGTATTGGTATTTTAAAGAAAAAATACCAGTATTCCACCTTCTTCCTATACATTTTAAGCATCATTTTAAGCATCAAAGTCTTACATGTGGTTATTTCGGAAACATTTTTATGTGCTTCATTCAGAGCACCCTACATTACAAACTGGTATTTTTTACAAACTTACACAAAGATTCTAAGATGATCACAAGGAAGTGTATTGCATGTCTAATGGTCTAACCCCATTATACCCATTTTGATTAAAATCACAAACGGGTGTTTTATTAAATGCTTTTATTGATTCACAATCTGACAATGCAAACTGGGTTAAAGTTAGCTTGAAGTTCGAAAACGATCTTGGCATGCCTGTAGTGCTTTCAGGAAACTTCCTAGAGTTGTGAGAACACTTACTTTGTGTATAAAGTACATTGTGAATGTTTTCACAGCCTTCACTTTGTCTTTTACATGCCATTTTTCTGACCAAGCATGAATATTCTTATGTCCATATCTTTACAAGGGAAACACAGAACACCTTCAAACCAAATGGATTTTAAAGACCACAACTTGTGGAAATTTCCACAGCCTCTGTATCAAAATATCAGTGAGCTAATTATCTGTTTTTAAACCTCCAGTTTTTTATCCATGTGTAATTATGCACTAACTGGAACCGTGGCACTTTTCCTCCCCCTCTACATTCTCACAGTAGAATAGGCGAATCTTCTAATGAAAGACAGTCACCCTTCCCCCCACGGACAGGAAAAGTGCCCGCAGACACTTAAACTTAATATGGTCAGAAGGAGCACGTAAAAACGTTTCCACTATAACTGGTGTGTATTTTTTTATTTAAAACATCAAAACCAGCCATATACAGTTTGTAACGTAAGGATTTCTATATTTATGTCTTTATTTAGTGGTTACATTAGTGACAAAGGCTAAACTTTTAGCTTCAGTAACGCGTACTCCGTATGGCATACATGTTTGTAATGACAA